TCTCTGCTGGTAACCTCTCCTCACAAAGATCAATAAATGTTGAAATATCCCATGTCTCAGTCCTTGGGCACTCCCTTTCCTATCTTTCCATATGTGATGTAATGCAGATATCCATGACTTTAAATCTTTAACACTTCCGCATTGATGACTCCTAAATTTACATCTCTACCCCAACTGCCTACTAAACACCTCCACTTGGATATCTAATAGGCATTTCAAACCAAATCTACACCAAACAACTCTTTTTCCCCTTCCATAATTTGCTTCTCCCTCAGGCTTCTTCATTTTAATAAATAGCATCTCCATTGCCCTAGTGACTCAAGCCCCAAACTTAGGAATTTTCCTAATTTCTCTATTTTTCTCAAACTATATATCCAGCCTGTCAGCAGTTCCCTCAGGTCTTTTTTCAAACTATAGAAAGCCTAAATAAAGGAAAGACATACTGTATTCATGAATTGGAAGACTAAATATTATTTAGCTGGCTGTATTCCCCCAAATTGATCTATGGATTCAATGCAGTCCCTACCAAAATTCCAGCTTCCTTTGTCTGCAGAAATGAGCAAGTTGACCCTAAAATTCATTTGAAAATATAAGGAAGCCAGAATAGCCCCCTAAAAAAAAATCTTGAAAAAGACTAACAAAGTTGGAGGACTCACACTTTCCAATTTCAAAACTTACTACAAAACTACAGTAATCAAGACTGTGTGGTACTGACATAGGATAGACATATAGTTCAATAAAATAGAATCAAGAGTCCAGAACTACATCCTTATATATATGATCAATTATTGTTTTGCAAGGGTGCCAATACAGTTCAATAAGGAAAGAATAATTTCATCAACAAACTGTACAGGCACAACTGCATGCCCATGATCAATAGAACAAATTTGGAACTAAAGTTCTTATATTTAGGTTTTTGATCCATTTTGTTTAACTTTTGTTTATGGTATGAGGTAAGGCTCCAAATTTGTTCTTTTGCATGTGGACATCCAGTTGTACAATTGCTCCATTTATATTTATCTTAGCAGAAAATACAGATGTAAATCTTGTGACCTTGACTAGGCCATGGTTTCTTAGATGTGACACCTAAAGCACAACAATAAAAGAAAAAAGTAGATAAATTGGATTTTTTTTACTTAAAATCAATTTGTGTTTTAAAATTAAATAAAATAAAAATTAAAACATTTATGCTTCACAGGATTCTATCAAGAAACTGAAAAGACAATGTGCAGAATGGGAGAAAATATTTCCAAATCATATATTTGACAAATAGTTTGGCAATTCTTCAAAAAGTTAAATATAGAGTTACCATTTAATTCAGCAATTCTACTCCTACATATGTACCCAAAATAATTAAAAGTATACATAGGAAAAGACTATATACGAGTTTTCACAGCAACATTATTAATAATAGCCAACAAGCAGAAACAATCCAAATGACCATCAACTGATGAATGGGTAAGTAAAATGTGGTATATCATACAATGGAATATTATTTAGTCACAAAAGGGAATGCAGTACTGATATGTGCTACAACACAGATGAGCCTTGACAACATTATGCTCAGTGAAAAAAAGCCAGCCACAAAAGTCCACATATTGTATGATTCTGTTTTTATGAAATATCCAGAATAAGCAACTGATAGAGACAGAAACTAGATTAGTGGTTGCCAAAGGCCACACGGAAAGGGAAGGGGAAACAGGAAGTTTCTGCTAATGGGTAAGGGGTTCCTTTTTAGGGTAATGAAAATGTTCCAAAATTGGATAATAGTGTTCGTTGCACAACTCTGTGAACATACTAGAAACCACTGAGTCGTGCATTTTTAAAAAGTCTGTTTTAAATATATATACACACATATACATATATAACCCTCTTTCATATCAGTTATACTTTAATAAAGCTGTTGAAATTTGTAAAATAAAATTTTAAAACAAAGAAAAAATATATAAACTCACCAACAGACCACTTCTCACCTCCACTAGCCCCGCTACTCTAAGTTATCAGCATTTCTGCAAACATATTCCTAACTGATCTCACTGCTTGGAATCTTGCCAGCAACCTCTCCCTCCCAGCAATAGTCTATTGCCTGCACCAAAGCTGAGTTGTCTTTTAATGATGTAAATGAGGTTCTATCATTCTCCTGATCCACACCCTCCACTGCTTTTCATCACACTCAGAGTAGCTCTGCCGTTACCTGATTTAGATGTATGGCTCCAACAGATTTCCCTTGAAGAAATGATTCCATGGCTGATAAAAGGTGGAAAGCCTCCTTGGTCTCAAAACCATTATCAGATTAGCTGTGTGCTCTGTCCCTTTCCTCAACCATAAGAAGTCCATGGATAAAGAAAGCTTCAGAGCAAAGGAGAAAGCATGGGAGGAAGAGCAGGACGAAGGTGGGGCATCTGCAGCCCCCACCCTCATCAGAGCCAGTTCCCTACTCTCCCTGTCTAAACCTCTTAGTAAGAGGTAGTTCAAGTGATGGGCAAACTCAATTCCAGCACTCAAAAGCACTTGACTACTTTGCTTAGTTAGCTAGCAAGTATTTCTTGAGAATGTAGCTCTGTTCTATGGAGCCTTATTTTCAACTGTCAGACTCCCAGACATCCAGTCCAGGTAAAGAAGATGGTGTCCAATTATTCATTTGACAAACAAATTTGGGGTTCAAGGGCCAGCTATTGAAAAAAGCTATGGAAAACTTCATGAGACGTGCAGGTAACTGCCAATATGTGTGGTTCACAAGGACCGGTTCATACTCAGAAAAGGCCATTAAAAAAGAAAGAAGAACTTCTCATTTGGATTTATAAAGAGTGTCTTACTTACTCTTAATTTATATCTTCTCTTCTCCAGGAAATCAACCTATAACTTCTCCTCTCAGCTCCACTCTACCACGGTCTGTCACCTTCCCCAAACAATTTGTTTCCTTGTTTTCAAAAGTGAACAAAGCACCAAAGACCCAGCAAAGTTTCATAAGGCCCTGAGACTTTCAATTGTCTATTTCAGATCAAATACAGAACATGATCTTCCTCCTGCTAATGTTGAGCCTGGAACTGCAGCTTCACCAGACAGCAGGTAAGAAAGGACAAAGGGAGAGGCTTAAGAAAGAAGAGCAGGTGGTGGCCCCTAGCCAAAGCCAAAAATGAGAATGTGGTCCTCAAGCTGAGGGCTTTCTTTGAGAGGAAATATAATTTCTGGGCTATTCCAAGCACCACAAAAAGAAGAGTCCCCAAAGTGGCTTATATATGCCAATGTCCCTATCTGACAGAAACGAGGACTGAGAATATTGCTCCATATATCCCCACTATCCAGTGAGGGTAATGACAAGAAGACAGGATCATTCAGACTGTGTAAATCTAAACTAATACAAGAGGGCAGGGGTTGAGTTCCCTTAAAGGTGAGATGCCAAGTGGCTGTCCCCTTCCTTTCTGGCAGGGAGAGTAAGAAGACAATGGCCAGGGGACACTGTTACTCTAAAGATAATGTCTTGAAGACATTCTGCATATTATTAGTTGTTTTTGTGAGTTTCTCTTTTGAAAAGCAACAGTAGCAGCCACTGGTCATTCATACCTTAATGTGGTTTACTGAGTCTTCCTAAAACCCAAATGAACAATGAACCTTAAGGCTATCCCTTTGAACTTGAAGAAAGGACTTCTATTGGAGGATGAGGGTGAGCAGGAAGAAAAGCAGTTTCACAGTTGGTTGTTCTCCTGGGGAAGGTAGTTCAGACCATTCGAGGGTGTAGTTAGGACCATGAGTGTACTATTTTGGATGAACACCAAGAGGTAAGAGAGTGAGACAGAGGTGGGGACAGAGGATTAAGTCCTCAAGATAGTAGCCCCAGCCCCATGGGAAATCATCTTTCTGCTCATGATTGAGAAATAATGGCTCCCTTGGCACTTGATAACCTTTCGAAGAGCTTTCTCCTCCCTACTGACTTGTTCCAGATCACTCTTTACTCAGTCACATTCCTCTCACTCCCTTGAGCTGCCCAGCCTGGTCTGGTACTAGAGACATGCACTTGGGGCCCTCCTCAAAGGAAGACCCTGAGATATTCTGCTTACTTCTACTCTGCTCCTGCCTGCAGGGCCAGCTAAAGGAACTTTTCATGTTTTCTTTGCAAGGAACCCTGCCTGGCAGGAATTTTAGAGACAAGCAAAAGGGGCAAATACTTCCATGCTACAAAACAGCTTCAAGTTTCTGTAGAGTGATAAGGGAAATGAGGGCCAAAAGACACTGCAGTTCCCCATCCTGTGGCAGGACTGGGGGCTTCAGGAAAAAACTTGGGGAACGTGTAACCTCTGTGGGTTTGTCCTTAAAAACATTGAGATCCTGGGTTTTCTGTCTTTGTTTTTTGCCTTCTCTCTTAGGAAAGGAGTGAGCTAGGGTGACAAGGAGCAATATTTTTTAGTCCTCATTGGCTCTTTCTACGGAGGAAGGATCTTTTCTTCTAAGATAATTAGCACAAGACAATGAAGATAGGCGCTAGCTCCCAGTTAGGTATACTAATGGGCAAAAGGAAGAGCATTTACATTTATTGAGAATTCACTAAATGCCAGATACCGTGCTAGAAAATTTACATATGGTATAGTTCATTTAATCTTCACAACGATCATTTTGCAGGTGAGGGAACTAGAACTCAGAAAAGGTACTTAATTTCCCCAAGATTACATAGTTATTAGGTGACACAGGCAAGATTTCCACAAAGCTAATGTCCTTTCTACCCTACTGTGCTACCATGATGATGGTAATCAAAAATGGCAGACAATCCATAAATCTTCCAACTTTGGAATCGGTTTTTGCACTGAAGTCTGAACATGGATATGTATTGAATGTTTATTCTGGACATTCACAGAATCAAAAATATGTGTAATGAATTGTGTTGCTGAATTAACTGAAAGGAAAGTAAAAATGTAGCACTTTCTCACTTTCTTCACAAATTTGGAATTCTTCTCTGCTTTCCACTATGCAGATAACATCAGTTCAAACAAATATTAAATACCTACCTAAATTAGAATGCCTTCTCCTCATGATATTTTTTAAAAAATCTTGTCATTTCATGTCTCTTTAATTAAAGAGTTTTGATTTCAGAAGAGGGTACCTGAAAAAGAAAACAACAAAAAAACTAAAGAATCTGAGAAATAATTAGTGTTTACTGCTGGGGAGGAGGTCTGGATCTTATCTATTATGTATATTCAGGTTTTGTTGTTTTTTTTTTTTTTACAAGAAGCATATATTAGGTATTATTTGTATAATAAAATATAATTTTAAAAATACAAGAAATTTCTCATATAAAAATATGAGAGTAATCAGACTGCAACACCCAGTGCCTGAGAGGGAGCTACAGCTATCAGGCTGGCCAGACAGACAGAGGATTACATTTTCTTCCTTGCTCCTTGTACAGCCCCAGACCTGCATGCTTCATTGAAAAGAAAAGAAGATACATGAATTGAATCAATATGATGCTTAGTACCCTATCGGTGCCCATTTCTTTTCTATTTTTAAATTTTAAAAATAACACCTGGCCAGGCACAGTGACTCACGCCTATAATCCCAGCACTTTGGGAGGCCAAGGCAGGTGGATCACCTCAGATCAGGAGTTTGAGACCAGCCTGGCCAACATGGTGAAACCCCTCTCTACTAAAAATTTAAAAAAAAAATTAGCCGGGCATGGTGGCAGCCACCTGTAATCCGAGCTACTCAGCTGAAGCAGAAAAATCGCTCGAACCTGGGAGACAGAGGTTGCAGTGAGCTAAGATCACGCCACTGTACTCCAGCCTGGGTGACAGAGTGAGATTCCGTTAAAAAAACAAACAAACAAAAAAAACACTTATGTTGGTATTCTCAGACATTACAAATAAATAAAAACAACCCAAGTGCCCTGGAGAATTTGATTCTAGGAGTAGGTCTAGAAGAACTTCAACTGGAGAATGGATATAGAAATCATGGTATATTTACAGAATATATATATATTATATATGTAATACATAGCATGTGAATAAATTAATTACAAAAAATTAATTACAAAAAATATGATTACATTTATTATATAGCATGTAGATAAATTACAAAAACATGTGACTACATCTATGAATCTTAGAGCATAATGTTGAGTAAAAAACTAAATAAATAAAAATTAAGCCCAGAAGATAACATATAGCACAACGTCCTTTTCATAAATAAATATATTGCTTAAGCATACCTTATATATAGAAGATAAAGCTTAAAAAGTAAAGAAGAGGCCGGGTGTGGAGGCTCACGCCTGTAATCCCAGCACTTTGGGAGGCTGAGGCGGGCAGATCACGAGGTCAGGAGACCGAGACCATCCTGGCCCGCATGGTGAAACCTCATTTCTACAAAAAATACAACAATTAGCTGGGCGTAGTGGCACATGCCTGTAATCCCAGCTACTCGGGAGGCTGAGGCAGGAGAATCCCTTGAACCAGGGAGTCGGAGGTGGCGGTGAGCCAAGATTGCGCCACTGCATTCCAGCCTGGGCGACAGAGTGAGACTCCGTCTCAAAAAACACAAAAGTAAAGAAGAGATTGATAAGCCCAATATTCAGGATGCCAATTACCTCTGGTACAGGCAGTAGATATACAGCGTTAGTAATGTGCTAGTTCTTAAGGTAGGTGGTAGGTTCACAGATGTTCATTTTACTTAATTAAATATATTTTGAAAATTTATTTAAAGCTTTCTGTGGTAAAATATATCACAGAGAAAACCACATAAAACGACTATAAAGTTTAACATTACTATAAGGTGATTAGTTTTGTAACCACCACCTAGGTTAAGAAGGAGAATTTTGCCAGTTCCCCAGAAATGCTTCACCTACCCCAGCCCAGTAAAACCTCCTTTGCAAATACTCTTCATAGCGCTATCCAATATGCTCTTTATTTTTACCTTTTTTAAATTAAAACAAAACTTTTTAGGGACAGTGTCTTGCTCTGTCATCCATGCTGGCGTACAGTGGCCCAACCACAGCTCACCGCAGCCTCTAACTCCCAGGATCAAGCGATTCTCCTGCCTCAGTCTCCTGAGTAGCTAGGACTACAGGCATGTACCACCCTGTCTGGCTAATTTTTAAAATATTTTTAGTGATGGGGTCTTGCTATGTTACATAGGCTGGCCTCAAACTGCTCGTCTCAAGCAATCCTCCTGCCCTAGCCTCCCAAAACACTGAGATCACAGGTGTGAGCCACCACTCTCAGATTGCCCTTTATTTTTTCATGAAAGAAATTACTGAAGAGGACTAAAAGAAGTTTTAGTAAGCATTCAATAAACGTATGTTCTTTATAGTTTCCAAATCAGTAAATATAGACATCCCTCATTTTTAAGTAGATTTATGTATTTTTTTGGACATGCTGTAATTTATTTAACCAGTTCCCTATTGGTAGACATTATAATTATTTCCATTTTCTTCTGCTAGATTAATGCTTGAAAAAAGTGTGTGCCTCCCAAAGACTATGATGAAAGTTGCCTCTGAATAAAACTCAAAAACAAACCATTAATCATTAATTCTTTCCTTACTTGTATGCTCTTTGGATGCTCTACTATGTTATCTATAAAATAAAGTTTGAAGTGAAAAATTAGGGTAAAACATTTTATATCATTTTTAAAGGAGGTATATATGGATGTACTTACATATGTATGTTTAAATTTACATACCATAACATTTATTTTTTAAAAAAACATCTTATTAATTTTAACAAATCCTTAGTCATATAACTACCACCACCACAGTGAACATCCAGGACAGTTCCATCCCTTGCCAAACAAACAAACAAAAAGCTTCTCCCAAGTCTTAAGTCCAGACACCTACTGATCTATTTTCTGTCCTTATAGTTTTGACTTTTCCAGAATGTCATATAAATGTAATAATTCATTAGATATCCTTTTGTATCTGGCTTCTTTCACTTAACATAAAGCATTTGAAATTCATTCATATTGTGTGAATCAACAATTTATACCTTTTTGCTGTTGAGTATATTCTATTGTATGTATACTATATTTTGTTTATAAATTCCCCAGTTGGGGAACATTTGGGTATTTCCCATTTTGGGTGATTACAAATAAAGTTATTATAAATATTTGCATATAGGTTTTTTGTGTGAACCTAGGTTTTCATTTCACTTGGATAAATACCTAGAAGTGGGATTGCTAGGTCATGTGGTAAGTGTATGGTTTATTATAAGAAACTGCCAAACCTTTCCATAGTGGCTGTAGCATTATTGCATTCCCACCAGCAAGTGTATGAGAGTTCTAATTGTTCCTCATTCTTGCCAGCACTGGTATTCTTTTCTATTTTTTCTTTTCTTTTATTTATTTATTTATTTATTTATTTATTTATTTATTTATTTTTTGAGACAGAGTCTTGCTCTACCCAGGCTGGAGTGCAATGCCATGATCTTGCCTTACTGCAACCTCCACCTCCCGGGTTCAGGCAATTCTCCTGCCTCAGCCTCCCAAGTAGCTGGGATTACAGGCATCCACAACCACGCCCTGCTAGTTTTTTGTATTTTTAGTAGAGACAGGGTTTTGCCATATTGACCAGGCTGGTCTTGAACTCCTGACCTCAGGTGATCCACCCACCTTGGCCTCCCAAAGTGCTGGGATTACAGGCATGAGCCACCACACCCCGCTCTTAAGTCATTCTAATAGGTGTGTAGAAGTGGTTCTAATTTGCATTTTCCTAATGACTAATGATATTAAGTATACATTTATTTATATATTATTTTATATATAATCTTATATAGTATACATATTTTATTTTATATATGTGTGTGTGTATACACACACACACACATATTTTTTTTTCTTTTTTTGAGACAGGGTATCACTCTGTTGCCAAGATTGGAATGCAGTGGTACAATCGTAGCTCACTGCAGCCTCAACCTCTCAGGCTCAAGCGATTCTCCCACCTCAGCCTCTGTAGTAGCTGGGACTACAGGCCATGCCACCATGCCTGGCTAATTTTTTTTTTTTTTAATTTTGTAGAGATGGGATCTCCTTGTGTTTCCCAGGCCAGTCTCAAACTCCTGGACTCAAGTGATCCTCTTGCCTCAGCCTCCCAAAGTGCTGGGATTACAGGCATATGCCACTGAACCTGGCCTTAGTTAAGTTTTTATGTACTTATTGTATATCTTCTTTGGTGACATTCAAATCATTTCACCCTTTATAATTGTATACTAAGGAATTAAACAATTGTTTAATTGTTGTTTATTTTCTTATTGTAAGGTTTTAAAAGTTCTCTTTTTTTTTTTTTGAGACGCAGTCTTGCTCTGTTGCCCAGGTTGGAGTTCAGTGTCCTGGCTCACTACAGCCTCTGCCTCCTAAGTTCAAGCGATTCTCCAGCCTCAGCTTCTTGAGTGGCTGCAATTACAGGCATGTACCACCATGCTTGGCTAATGTTTGTATTTTCAGTAGAGTTGGAGTTTCACCATGTTGGCCAGGCTGTCTCAAACCCCTGACCTCAAGTGGCCCACCCACCTTGGCCTCCCAAAGTGCTGGGATTACAGGTGTGAGCCACTGCCCCAACCTTAAGAGTTCTTTATTCCAGACACAAATTATTTATCAGATATTGATTTTCAAATATTCTTCTGAAGTCTGTAGCTTGTCTTTTCATTTTCTTAACTGTGCTTTTGCAGAGCAAAGATTTTAATTTTGATGAAGTTTGATTTATCAATTTTTCTTTTATGGATCATGCTCTTGGTATCACATCCAAAAACTCTTTGCATAACCCAAGATGTAAAGAATTGTCTTCTACGTTTTCTTCTACACATTTTGTAATTGTATATTCTATATGTAAGGTTTATAATCCATTTTAATTTTTATATAAAGTGGGATGTATAGGTTAAGCTCATTTTAGTTTTACATGTAGATGTTCAGTTGTTCCAGCCCCATTTGTCAAAAAAACCCATCCTTTCCCCATTCAATAGCCTTTGAATCTTCATCAGAATCAATTAGTCATATTTATGTGGGTCTATTTCTGGACTTTCTATTCCATTGACCTATGTGTATATCCTTTTGCAAATATCACACTGATATTTGTTTTTTTCTTACATTTTTATTTAAAAATCTAAGGACATCTTATAACCCAGAAATATTTTTTATACCTTGTCATGTCTTAGAGGAAAGACTGGTCTTTCTTTTTTCATTGATGTTTTTCTTCTCTCTTCATACTCCAGAGGTAGACGAAAACCAGGGGGACCACAATGACCATGGTGATGTCTGAGGTCATTCTGGGGCACAGACCTCAGCCTGGGTTACTCCACTTGGCCTATCTTTAGATCCAAAACTACTTCTGCTGACTGCTGAGATATACAAAGGAGAAGAATTAGGTTGAGGAAAGGATTTCTATGCTAAAACGTGTCTCCATGCAGTCCTCCTACACTGAGCAGAACATGAGTCAGGTGCATAGAGCAGAATTTTGTCCTAAACCAGGAACTTCAGAGTTTTCTGAAGAATGTGGCTATGTAAAGCACCTCCCACCCCACCCGTACTTCTCAAGTACATTATGTGGCAAGTCTGAAAAAACTTACACTTCTGTTGTTAAATGTGGGGGATAAAATATAAACTTAGCTTAAAGAGGAAGCTGTCTTGGGCAATGCAAACGATTTATTGTGTGAAAGTTTCCTGAAGATGTGACAGGTGCTGACTACCATTGATGCCTGGTTGCAATAAAATGCAAAGCTCCCTCAAGAATTTTTGAAATGCATCAAGTTAAGTGTTCTAATCTAGCAAAAGGACCTGCATGTATAAATTTTTCATGCTTTTGCCAAGTGTTTTGCCCTTTAGTTTAGTTAAGGGCCCCAAATGAATGGAAAGCCTGTGTTGTCTGCTTAATTTTGTAGCTGTGGAAACCTTCCAGTTTTGTCCTTTGTCTAATACCTTCAGGAGCTCAATGCTAGATTGAAGCTTAATTTAATAACCATGTGGCATGTAAAATAGAAAACCAAACATCTTTTCCTTAACATATAGCAAACAAAAACAAAAACAAAAAAAAAACACCTCACTCATGGATGTAGTGTACACATGCCAGTGGATACATAGTCATAACTGCAGTCATTGGTAGCACAGAAATAAATATGCATTGAAGACACAGAGATGAATTTGAATTCTGGTTCCATGAGCTACCATTCTTTGACCTTGGGCAAGTTACATCACTTCTTTAAGCCTCAGTTTCCCCATCTGTAAAATGTGGATAGCAACATCTACCTTGCAGAGTTGTTGGGAGCATGAAATGAAATGATGGGCTAGCCCAGTGTCTGACTTACTGCATTTAAGAAATATCAACTATTACTCTACTTCCCAAATGCAGACCAATGTTATAACTCTACTTCTCGAACATTAATATGCATGCACATCACGGTGACCTTGTTAAATGCAGATCCTGATTCTCTAGGTCTGGGGTATGCCTGAAATTCTACACTTCTACCTAGCTTCCAGGTGAAGCTGAGGACAACACTTTGAAGGGCAAGGTGGTAAAAGATGTTTGCAAGTGCAAATGTTAATTTGTGTAACTAATGGTTCCCAATACTGTCTGCACATGAGAAGCTCCCAGGAAAAGAAAATTTTTAATGATGCTGACCTCATCCCCCAAATAATTTAATTTTAACAGATCCAAAGTAGTGTCTGGACATTAGTGTGTTTTAAAAGCCTCCCAGGTGATTCCAATGTTAGCCAAGATTGAGGCCCTCTGCTTAATGAATCTTATTTGTAGCTGGGCTTGAGAAAAAAACCTCTTCATAGAATTGTTTCCAACAGTGTTTTGATTGACTCTGTAACTTACAATAAGCAAGAATGTTTCAGGATTTCAAAAATGTATTGCATTTCCTAAACCCCTTATTTTGTATGGAGTAATCAAGCTCAAAATTTGCACGTCTTAGAAACTTTACTTGGGGCAAAATTAGACCAAATAACAATTAATCTTCTAGGTATTCTGAGCTATTCAGACACATGATTCATGTTTGCTAATTGCTGTTTTCTCTTGTAAATATTAGCTGAAAAATGTCGCCTGTCTGAAAAGGAGCATACGTTATGCCTATCACTCCTGGCACATATTCTTACAAAGCAGACAGGAAAAACAGGAAGAAAATGGACTTTTATCAAAGGCCCAGGCAGTAAAGAGGGGAGTTCTGCTGTAAACTAAGGGGAGTTCCAGAGGAAGTTATAGGCGTTCCCTTTCTCATGAAATGAAAGCATAGTGCAGTAAATAAATTTGCTAAATAGATTCAACAGAGTCTCTACCCAAAGTCATCTATTTAATTCTTGTTTTTACGCAGACTCAGCAACTAACCTTCCTTGTAAGTCCCATTTTCTTCCCTGTTTCCTATGTGTCATATGTAATTAAACAAGAGAAGAATTATAGAAAAGTAAAAGTAGTAGGTAATTCTTGAACTTGGCATATGATTACTACATATTTGATGAATAGTTGAATATTATTCTTCAAGGACAGATCGGATTTGATATCAGGTGGCTCTGCATTAAGTTATAAGGGACTTAATAACTCAAGTATTTAAGGATGGCTTCCATCATAAAGGGATCTGCCCTGAAGAGGGTCCCATTACAGAGATTCCGAGGTGAGAGCTATTCCAAGTGTGCAGTGGAATAAAAGAATCATACAGGAAATCTCTTTTTACATGCATTATTTCAGGTTCTTTGCAACCTGGCACAGCAAGTGCAGATATGATTAGCACTGTTGTACACACATACACTCACCTTATAGCCCTGCCCCTGTGCCCCTCCTGCACAAAAGAATGCTGGGCACACATGAACTCCTCTCTGTAGAAAGGCACATTAATGTTCTAGCCATAGTTAAAACAGGGAATAGAGGCAAGCTGTAAATGTTGGTCATTTGAAATAAATCTCAGGTTTGTGGATATCACTATCAAGTGTGCTGTGTGGCAATTAAGAAGGTCAATTTGTGTGATCACAGGCAAGTTGCAGTTTGATTAAAGGAAAGCAGAGGTGAATATATAACCAGGGTCATCCTTTCTTTCTCCCTCTCTCTCTTTATGTCATTTATTTGCCAAGCTCTTAACTAGAACTTGGTATGTACTACATACTGGATATATCAAAGCAAACTCAGCCTGGTCTTTGCCTTCAAAGATTTGCAGGATAGTGGGAAGAAAAACTTGAATCAGAGGACAACTGCAATGGGAATCATTCAAGCAGCAGAAAACCCAAAAGTTACTTATACTGTGAAATCTGATCAGAGAATGGACTGTCCTGGTTAGTAAAATATCCTGGAGGATAAAGATTGACCATGCATTCCACATATGAATTACCACTTTCCCAAGAATTAAAGATACGAAAGAAAGAAACGAACATTTGCTGAGTGCTTACTGCCTGACAGATCTAGGCACTTCACATGTAACACCTCGTCCAGCCTCCACCATAATACTGAGAGGTAGAGTCCAACCTCATTTTATAGATAAGGAGGCTGAAGCTCACAGAGATTAAAGGATGGACTCACAGTCAAAGGACTCCTAATTCTGATAGTCAGCATTTGAACCCAGGCTCACCTGTCACTATATCCTATGCTCTTGCATATCACATTTTATACTGAAACAACTTCTTGAATAGCTAATGCTTAGAGGAAGTCCCCAAATATTTGTTGAATGAATGATTTGATTGAATGAACGAATGAAGCTCTACTGAACATAATTTGATCTAATCTTCTGTGATTATTCCAAAACTACTTCAAGATTTTCCTATATCTCCATCACAATGAATACCCATTCATTAATGATGGAAGCAGCCTAATTTTGTCATTTTTCACACTTTATTGATGTAAACACTACCTTTACTAGTTTGGCCACTCCTTATGCATTTTTATAGAACTATTTAGATCAATTCAACTTTTAAAAAATAAAACCATATACCCCTGTGGTAGATAAAAAACAAGTATCATTTGCACTGGTAAATAGAGAATAGGAAGAAAAATAAACGCAATGAAAATAAAGCAGTGTTATCAAATCCTACCCAGATACTGTTATCTGCCTGGAAGATTCCTATTTGATTAAAAGGAAAAATAGCCAGTGTTAGAGGTATGTATGGAAGTATGGAAGTCTAGTTGCAAATTATATACAATTGAAGGAAATATAATTGAAAAGGGAACAAATTCCTCTCTGAATAATTTAACTCCCTTTAGGCTTTGATTCTGCCTCAACTAAAATCATTTTACATACTTCTAGTGGCGTGTCCCTCACATTTTGGTTAACACTGAGTGGAAACTACGGATTTTGAAGTCAAACATCTGACTGGCTCTGGATTTTAAATTTACTAATGCATGTCCTGAAGTGAACTGCTTGGAGCCAGTTTCCTCAACTATATAACCATAATGACAAAACATGTTTCATGGTCATGTTTTCAGTATTAAACAATATAGTTAAAAGTTCCTACTACAGTGCCTGGCGTGGTACATACTAGGTATACATTAAATATCAGTTCCATTTTTCCTTTCCCTTTATTGTTAGAAAATAGAAAGCATCTACAGTGGGCTTGTATGATGTGGTGGTTAGAAATACCTGATCTGATTCTGGCTGTGCAATCTTAGGCAAGTTACTTAACCTTTTTGTGCCTCATTTTTGTTTTCTGAAAAACAAAAAGGATAGAATATTATTACCTACCTTGCTGGCTTCTAGGAAGACTCAGTGAGACAATGTGTTAGCAGAGTGTCTGATAATTGTAAGAACTCAACAAGTAATAGTTATTATCACCACCACTGGTGAGAGGAAGTGATATTTGGCAGGAAAATATATAAATTAATCAATATGGATTGAGGAAAATGAACCTGGAGAATAGGATGTGAAGGTATTTAAGTAACATGAGCTCAGAGCTTGATGGTAGGGAAGTCCTAAGGAAGCATTTTGTTCTTATATGACATACGACCTGGAATGACCGTAGGGCTCAGGGGGTCAGGGACTGGAGGTGGGAGAGGCGTCTGAGAGCAAGCAGTGTTGTCCACCAGAAGCTCTTGCTGGGGTGCCCAGAGAGGAGCAAAGGGCAGTCAGCTGCCCAGGAGGGAATGTTTGGAGGAGAGAGCTACCTCAGATCAGCGGGTCAAGAATCCCACTCTTGCCCAGATGGATGGGGCAAAGGAGAGAAAGGATTCGCCAAGGGAATGTCGAGATAATGACAGGTGCCTTTTGGAAAATGGGGGTGAGATGGGTCTCAGGTCACACTTTGTAAGAACTGGAATGTAAAGTAAAGGCAGACAATGGCAAAATATCTTGTTTTCTTTTCAGCTTTATTCACGGTGACAGTCCCTAAGGAACTGTACATAATAGAGCATGGCAGCAATGCGACACTGGAATGCAACTTTGACACTGGAAGTCATGTGAACCTTGGAGCAATAACAGCCAGTTTGCAAAAGGTGGAAAATGATACATCCCCACACCGTGAAAGAGCCACTTTGCTGGAGGAGCAGCTGTCCCTAGGGAAGGCCTTGTTCCACATACCTCAAGTCCAAGTGAGGGACGAAGGACAGTACCAATGCATAATCATCTATGGGGTTGCCTGGGACTACAAGTACCTGACTCTGAAAGTCAAAGGTGAGTGGTGTCAAGGACTAGAATCCATGGAAGCATCTCTCCAACAGAGGACCTGCAAGTCACAGAAACCCATTAAAGGTAGCTCAAGCAAAAACAAGAAGGCTGCTTTTAAGGAGACAGAGCTATTTCAGAGAAAACGAAAGCATCTGCTTGGAAATAATTTTTGACATCTGAGTACAAAGCAGCTGAAGTACAAGTGAAAGGAGGTAGGAGCTATAGGAATAAAATGGGACTGGAGGAAGCCAGGAAAATTAGTCCTTGAAATGTGGGAGGGTTTGAAAAATAAGCTTTGCCTAATTCACAGTTCTCCCATGGAACATCCCTGACTTGATTATTAAGGTACTCTTTTTCAATAGTTTATACCCTGAATCCAGAGTTTTTAAAACCATGGTTTGCTACCCATTAGTGAATTAAAATATCAATTTAGTGAGTAGCAACCAGATGCATGTTTCCCACCCTTTAAAAAATAATGAATAGAAGAGAATAGATAGAGTAGATCAGAAGACATCCCAGAGTAGTACTGAGTACTGTAAAACTAATTTCTCAGGGAGGTGTGTGTGTGTGTGTTAGGTCATGGTATAAAATTTTTTTTCTTACTTTGGATCATAAAAAAGTTACAAGTTTGGAAAACACTGCTCAAATGCAAGCCCTATTTATTGCAGATGAAGTAGCTGAGATCCAGTAAAGGGAAGTGGGTAGCCCAAGAGAGTCCCATGAAGTCTATAGCTGTCCCTGTTCCTCTGGATTCAGGTACCTCTGCACCCCAGTACAAGTCAAAACCCTAAATATAGAGAGAATCTTCACACTCTTGTTTGTTCTAGAAAAGGTGATTTGGGGAAAGACATATGACAACTATAAAAAATGGATTTTGCTTGTTCATTGGCTTATGGTCTCCGGGCTTGAGTGCTCTGAGATACACGATGCCAATATTTCTCTGGCCTCTCCCCTCACACGCATTGGACCTCAGATGGTCTATACTGTCTTCTAGAGGGTCTGTGGGTTTTGGCCCCAAAAAACCATTAACCTTGGCAGAAGTGTGTGACTTTATGATCTGGTACAAAGAAGGACAAACTAGAGGGACTGGACATACGGATGAATTTGTGTTCATCCTTGTCCTTGGGCAGGTTATTTTGCCTTTCATAACCTCACATTTTGCTTATTTGTAGAAGAAGAACAATAGTAGTACCAACCACACAGGATTTTTGTCAACATTGAGAGAGATAATGAACATAAAGAACTGAGCATGGTACCTGGCATATAATAAGGGTCCACAGAGGTGGTTAAAAGACCCTCAGTTGTTACAGGGACAGTGACCTCCTCACACCTCAACCATCAGTGAGTCACCAGGAAAGCCATTAGCCTAGATATAACTGTTTTCTATCTTTATTACATTTCCTACATCCAGGCAGCAGCTAAGAGGAACTCTAGAATACTGAAGTTAGTCTGAGTTCCCTTAATGTAAGGCTGTACATTCTCAGGATGCCTTGATGTACTCAAATGTCTGCAACCCTAAATCACCACCTCTGTGTTTATTGATCTCTATCTGAACACTGTATTAATGGGCCAGGCCTTCTGCCCATTCTCTCAAGCTGAGGACTGTCTCTCATTCCTGGGGAGGCACCCTGCCTACTCCTTACCTAGACCAGGGATTTCTCAGTTGTGGAGAGATTTGTTCCTTATAGTGTTGGTCATCAAACTGGGATATTTGGGGATTACAAAGACTTTTCAAGGGATGTATGGGCACAGGCAGTTTTAGGAAGTGAGTTTCCAGATCCTCATGTTCCCCAAATACTCCTTCCCAAAATTGATGAGCCTGAGAATGTGCACGCCAGGCAAGGCTCTTGGAATTCCCCTGAAACAGTTCCTCTTGTAAGCCTACCACTCACTCATCATTTATACAGTCCATTGTCCCGGGGTGTAAAACCCTCTATAGTGTTAAACAAAAGAATGATTGGGAACATTGACACCTGATGGAACTGTTATGACTAAAAATCCTTTTGCAAATAATGTGGTATCAAATTTTCTGCTTTCAACAACATTGAAGGAGGCTCTTATAAAGTTAATAGCTGATAATCAAAAATGAGTAATTTTTGCCATGTAAACCAGGTCAAAGAATGAAATGACATTGCTATAACAAAACTGCTACCATTCCCATTGATTTACTCATATAAACAAGATTCCTTAGCCCTTATAAGCTACAAAAAAATGAAAAATAGAAATAGAATTGATGCTGAATTCTATTATATAGAATCATTCCAACCATGTCATATGCTTCTTCAGATTCATGAATAATTTGAAAAAGACAGCCATATCCATCTTATTAAGAGACACATTTCCAATAAATTTTCATCTTTCATGTTTAATAATTATCAATATTCATAACATTTTACATTTTGACCAAATATGTGTTAATAATAATAGAAATTAGATCTCAATGCAGAAAACCTTGAACACTTAATGCTTCATAGTCACAAGAGAAAAGTTTTAATTTCAATAACTATAAATATTTTGTTGTTGTAAAGACATATAACAATAATTAATGCAAAATCTGTCAAACAAAAATTTGTTACATTAAGACAAAATTCTGTAGGGAAGGTGAAATTGGAAGTAAGGTTAAATGAATGAAAAGAAACAATTTAGATAGTTAGAGAAGAATTTTTTCATTTAATAATTTATTTATTTTTACTTAGAGGGAATTGAATTCATTAAGTTCCTTACCTTAAAAAGCCTCTCTTATTCGTCTTATTTATTTACTCTCTTTTTTTCCACATTTTCCAGTCTCATTCCCCTTTTTTAACACAGGAAATTATTCCAGCATGTTTCATACATATTCTTTTGTTTGTAAGAGCTTATTTAAAATATGTAATATTGTTTTAGATGCATTTTTTTTCTTGTGGAAACTATATTGTATTATGTACATATATTTTAGAAATTGACACATTAACTAAGTTTATTGTGAAAAGATGATTACAAGCAATAACAGACATACAGTAGAAAAAAATCTGAAGTTATGTGCACCTTCTTTTGAGACCATTTTTTTGGGTATATGTGAAATGTATTTTATCTTTTTTTAAATTGACAATAATTGTACATATTTATGGGGTACCTAGTGATGTTTCAATACTTACAATGGATAGTGATCAGATTGGGGTAATTAGCATATTCATCATCTCAAATATTTATCATTTCTTTGTGTTGAGAACATTCCATGTCCTCCTTCTAGCTATTTGTTGTTAAATATTTGTATGTATTTTTCAAGGATGATGTTGTATATAAAAGATAATTTATTTTATATTTAGATACCTTTGGATACATATGTAAGAGTAAAATAATTGTTTTACTAAAAAAATTCATAAGATGCTGAACATTATATGTTTTTCCAGTATAGAAACCTATGAAAAATTCTAAGAATCAACTTAATAGGTGAGAAGAGCATACTGTATCATAATTATTTTAGGAGGAAACAATAAAAAAGTTGAAGACCATCACTAAGAGTAGGCTACCCTGATCCAGGGTCTCTATAAGAAGCAAGATAGATCTGGGGCCCCAGTGAGGGTTCCAATGAATGAAGCAGAACTAGAAGAAGGACATGTTTTTATCTTAAAATGCCTGATCCATGGCATAAAGCTTGAAAATGGGTTTGTTTATAGCACCTTCGTTGACGTCTGGGCAGAAATTCACATCAAATATAGTGAAAAGAGTTAATTTGAAAAGGACAGAAAAAATTATGAGGTGGAATGACTGGAGATTCTGGAAGAGACAGTGATAAAGGACTGTGGTTTCTGAAAAGCCAGGTGGCATCTACATTACTGGGGGCAATCCATCTGAGGAAGGGGCGAGAGCATGGCCAAAGAACAGAGAGGCCCCAGGAACCCAGGGGTCTCTCAGAGGAGCTGGGTTGAGAACTGATCTGTGCAAAGGTTTCCAGACAGGGTCACAGAGGAGGCACTAAAAACAAGAACACCAAGGGCCAAACCATCCTGAAGGCCTGGGCAGGTCAGGAGAATGGGAAGAGCCAACACCAGGAATGTGCTGAAGCTTACAGAAGTACTTCAAACCAGAAACAATGAATTTAAACTATGCCCTACAACAAATAGACTTAACAGATACTTACAGAACATTCTACTCAACAATTGCAGAATATACATTCTATTCATCAGCATATGGAACATTCTCCAAGATAGACCATATAAGAGGCCACAAAACAAGTCTCAGTAAATTTAAGAAAATCAAAATTATATCAAGTACTCTCTTAGATCACAGTGGAGTAAAACTGGAAATCAACTCCAAAAGGAACCTTCAAAACCATGAAAATACATGGATGTTAAATAATGAATGATCACTGGGTGAACAATGAAATCAAGATAGAAATAAAAAACTCTTTGAACTGAACAATAATAGTGATACAACCTATCAAAACTCTGGGATACAGCAAAAGCAGTGCTAAGAGAAACGTTCATAGCATTAAATGCCTACATCAAAAAGTCTGAAAGAGCACAAGTAGGCAATCTAAGGTCACACCTCCTGGAGCTGGAGAAACAAGAACAATCCAAACCCAAACCCAGCAGAAGAAAAGAAATTACAAAGATCAGGGCATAACTAAATGAAATTGAAACAAAAAAATACAAAAGAGAAATTAAACAAAAATCTGTTTATTTGAAAAGATAAATAAAATTGATAACCAAGAAAAGAAGAGAGAAGATCCAAATAATCTCAATTAGAAACGAAATGGAGATATTACTGCTGATATCACGGAAATACAAAAGATTATTCAAGGCCACCATGAATACCTTTACATGTATAAACTAGAAAAGCTAGAGGAGACGGATACATTCCTGAAATATACAACCCTCCTAGATTAAACCAGGAAGATATAGAAACTATAAACAGATCAATAACAAGCAGCAAGATTGAATGGTAACTTTTAAAACTGTCAACAAAAAAAAGTCCAGGACCAGACAGATTCACAGCTGAATTCTATCAGACATTCAAAGAAGAATTGGTCCCAAACCTATTGACACTATTCCACAGGATAGAGAAAGAGGGAATCCTCCCTAAATCATTCTATGAAGTCAGTAGCACGCTAATACCAAAACCAGGAAAGGACATAACAAAAAACGAAAGCTACAGACCAGTATCCCTGATGAACATAGATGCAAAAATCCTCAACAAAATAGTAGCTAACCAAATCTAACAGCATATCAAAAAGATTATCCACCATGATCAAGTGGGTTTTATACCAGGAATGCAGGGATGGTTTAACATCCACAAGTTAATAAATGTGATACACCACACAAACAGAATTAAAAACAAAAATCACATGATCATCTCAATAGATCCAGAAAAAGCATTTGACAAAATCTAGCATCCTTTATGATTAAAACCCTCAGCAAAATCAGCACAGAAGGAACATATCTTAAGGTAATAAAAGCTACCTATGACAAACCCACAGCCAACATTATACTGAATGGGGAAAAGTTGAAAGCATTCTCCCTGAGAATTGGAACAACACAAGAATACCCACTTTCACCACTTTTACTCAGCATAGTACTGGAAGTCCTGGCCAGAGCACTCAAAGAGAAAGAAATAAAGGGCATCCAAATTGGTAAAGAGGAAGTCAAACTGTTGCTGTTTGCTGATGATATGATCATATACCTAGAAAACCCTAAGGATTCATCTTAAAAGCTCCTAGAACTGGTAAACAAATTCAGCAAAGTTTCAGGATACAAAATTAACGTACACAAATCAGTAGCTCTGCTATACACCAACATCAACCAATAGCTGCAAAAATAAAATAAAATACTTAGGAATATACCTAACCAAGAACATGAAAGACCTCTACAAGGAAAACTACAAATCACTACTGAAAGAAATCAAAGATAACACAAACAAATGGAAACACATCCCATGTTCATGAATACGTAGAATCAATATTGTGAAAATGACCATACTGGCAAAAGCAATCTACAAAGTCAATGCAATCCCCATCAAAATACTACCATCATTCTTCACAAAACTAGAAAAAACAATCCTAAAATTCATATGGAACCAAAAAAGAGCCCACATAGCCAAAGCAAGAAAGACTAAGCAAAAAGAACAAACGTGGAGGCATCACATTGCCTAACTTCAAACCATACTGTAACACAATAGTCACCAAAACAGCATAATACTAGTATAAAAATAGGCACATAGACCAATGGAACAAAATGGAGAACCTAGAAATAAAGCCAAATACTTACAGCCAACTGATCTTTGACAAAGCAAACCAAAACATGAAGTGGGGAAAAGATACCCTATTCAACAAACGGTGCTGGGATAATTGGCTAACCACATGGAGAAGAATAAACTAGATCCTCATATCTCACCTTATAAAAAAATCAACTCAAGATGGATCAAAGACTTAAATCTAAGACCTGAAACCATAAAGATTCTAGAAGATAACATCAAAAAAGCCCTTCTAGACATTAGCTTAGGCAAAGACTTCGTGACCAAGAACCCAAAAGCAAATGCAACAAAGACAGATAAATAGTGGGACTTAATTAAACTAAAAAGCTTCTGCACAGCAAAAGAAATAATCAGCAGAGTTAACAGACAACCCACAGAGTGGGGGAAAATGTTCACAATCCATACATCTGACAAAGGACTAATATCCAGAATCTACAAGGTATGCAAATACATCAGCAAGAAAAAAAAAAAAAAAAAACACAATCCCATCAAAAAATCGGCTGAGGACATGAATAGACAATTCGCAAAAGGAGATATACAAATGACCAACAAGCATATGGAAAAATGCTCAGCATCACTAATTCTCAGGGAAATGCAAATCAAAACCACACTGCGATACCACCTTACTCCTGCAAGAATGGCCATAATCAAAAAATAATAGATGTTGTCATGGATGTGGTGAAAAGAGAACACTTTTACACCGTTGGTGGGAATGTAAACTAGTACAACTACTATGGAAAACAGTGTGGCGATTCCTTTAAAAACTAAAAGTAGATCTACCATTTGATCCAGCAATTCCACTACTAGGTATCTACCCAGAGGAAAATAAGCAATTATAAAAAAAAGATACTTGTACATGCATGTTTATAGTGGCACAATTAGCAATTGCAAATATATGGAACCAGCCCAAATGCCCATCAATCAGTGAGTGGATAAAGAAAATGTGGTATATATATATTATACATACATATATATGTATATTATACACACACACACACACACACACACACACACCATGGAATACTACTTAGCTATGCAAAGGAATGAAATAATAGCATTTGCAGCAACCTGGATGGAATTGGAGACTATTATTCTAAATGAAGTAACTCAGGAATGGAAAACCAAACATTGCATGTTCTCACTCACAAGTGCGAGCTAAGCTATTAGGATACAAAGGCATAAGAACGATACAATGGACTTTCAGGATTTGGAGGAAAGGATGGGTGGGGGTGAGGGATTAAGAAAGTTCACATTTGGTACGGTG